AAAAAAAAAAAATGCAAATTTAGAAATATGCTATTACATTTCAATCAGTACAAATACGATTCTATCCATTTCTCATTCTGTCTCTTTGAACAATCTTGTCTTTTTCCTTCAGCACATATCGAACTTTCTAGACGTCCACTAAATTTTTAAGTGACCTCCCAAATGTTCCACCTTGAATTGATCTCTAATGGTTGGATATAGCTGCTAAAGGATTCATGTTAACAAAGACGGCCCCACATTCATTAAGCCATTAAAGGCTACACCCCTGATCGGGGATCTCAGTAATGATGCTCCATGTGCTTCATTACAAATACATTAACTTTTACTTGGTATCAAATCATTAATGAACCTAGACGAATCTAGGTTGTGTGTTATATAATGGTGCAATAATGGCTAATTTCATGCAATTAGTTTCTGTCTGTCGTAAGAAGGGTTGTTAATGAAAAATAGGGTCTTGGAAAAGTCGTGATACAAATTCTATATACATTACATGGGTCGGGTATAGTCATCAGGGGTTGCGGTGCATAATCGGAGTGTCACTCTTATTCAGAGGCACTGGCGAGTTCGCAAGGTTTACAAGAAATGTCAGGGAGAAGCGGCCTATTAAACTCACACCAAACATTCTGTATAGCTTGTCAAGTTCAAATTCAAGTGTATAAAAATTCTAAAAATAAACAACAATAAAACATTTATAAGTACAAAACTAGAATACATGAAGACCTACCTTCTGACTAACGTGCCTGTTGAAGTTATAGGCCTATTATGTATTAATACTTAGGCTATACTGTCATTTGCTATTTTAGTCATTATGAGTTAAAATGGCATGATCATCTGAAATCATTTATGAATAGTGAAACAAAAACAAGGAACTCAATGCGTTGTTCCTCAAAATTTTAAAGCTTTAAATAGGTCCTGGTGGTTTAGGTCTACCAATATCCATTATCATTTTTTTTTTATTATCAGGCTTATCATCTCCGTGCCATGTGAGGAATTCCTAGATGGATTATTACGAGAACCATTTGAAATTTTCATCATCACGATTGGAAGGGTGGTGGAATGGCGACTTTCTAGGGCATCGTGACATTTCTTTGGCGTGCCTGGATCATGATGAGAGTTGAGGCATTCGTTTCACCGGAGAACCATGGCAATAACATTCATGTGGCGCGAAGTTATGGAACAAGCCCATCCTATCCCGTCACCCCATGGGTATCGCGATCGAATCGCGATACTCCTTTTTGAAAAGTGTCGTCTGCGACGGAAATGCGCGGGAGTCTTGGCCGAAACTGCGAGGAAGCGCAATGGGGCATTGCTTCCGACCGGCGAGCAATTTGGCTGGCTGAGAACGCCCTAGATACCCACGGAGAGGAACCCTTCCCCGAACACGGAGTCAGAGGGACAACCATGCCAATGAACTATTTCTAGCAAACTGGAATAGGAGGCGACGACATGAAGTTCATCTCTCGGGCAGTTTATGAGCAATCGTTATATGCATGAATGAACTTTTGAACCGCCACATTGCTCGCAGCCATTTGGACATCTCGACGCTCTTAGATGAAAATAATCGATGGGTCCCATGTGATGACCAATGTTAGTCTAATAAGGGTCATCCATGGTCAACATCCTTCATCTACATCCTCCCTTTGGCGATTGTGAAAACGGACAAACAATCATCAAAGCTTGGACACGGTGGCTTGATTTATACCAAAAATTTGAAAATACTGAGGCAAGCGATGCCTGATCAATTCGGAATCAATTTTTACAATAGCTTGATATCTTATCTGAAAGCCAACAACTTCTAGTGACATATAGTGAAATATAAAATGGTGACGGACATGTGCTCTATATAAGAAGCCACCATTATTATTATTATGAATTATAATTGTAATGAATTAATGGCATGTTATTGTATGTTTTTTTTGTAATGTCACTTTAACATCAGGGACTTATGTAAAGAGTGTAGAGAGAAAATAATAACGTATGCCAACATGTCATAAGCATTTGAACTATAACCCTTTTTTTAAAAGAAGGAACAGGAAATGAAGTGTACATTCCACCTTAAAACAGACAAAAACAACATCACAAAACAAAATAAATTGAGTTATACACAATAATACACACGCACCCACACACACACACCCAATACCAATCACCTTAACTCTCTCCTTCCCATTTGATTCGCTTCACCACACAATGTTTTTTTAAGGAGCATCTCGTTCTCTTTTAAAATGACATAACTAAGACACTTAAAACTAGTGAGAACTGTAGTATGCATAATTAGGACTATCTGAACATCATTAAGGAAACGTGATTCCCATTCTTGTCCTTGTTTTGAAGTGTTTTTTTAAGGCAAGTTCAATAGCCTTCTCGATCAACCATTATTGATTTGTGTGAACATTTCAGTGATAACGTGATTTCCAAGTGTCACTTTTTGCTAGCTTGCTTCGCTCGTTCGCATTATGTAGATTGTATCATGAACATCATATTGTCTCTGTCGTCCAAAAGGAAAAGGACAGGTCCTATCGAGTAATACGTTTTTAAATGTGGCATTTTGGTCATGTTGTGAGTTGGAATAGGGATATTCCGCCAATGTATCACGATGACGATACCGATACGGCTATAGTTTCATATTCCCACATTTTATAAGTGAATAACTTTCAACATTCACATATGTCTCTTTTTTCATAATTTGTATGATTTCTTTCAAACTTTAACCAATATGCTCCCCTGATTTTTGGCATAGCAATGTTCTATTCGGGTTGAATTTCCCTATGAATCGTCTCGTTCGTCCGCATTGTAAACCACACTGAACTAGATAATGGTATGCTTTTGAAAAAAGTGCTCAACCAGTTATTACTATTTTCTTGGGGGTAATTGTTTGAAATTTACAATTTTAATTAAAATGCTTACACCACTTGATCAGGTTTGCCCACATATCTCCTGGTCAAACTAATGCAGATAGGCTTTAATCCCTCGTTATGAGCGTTCCTCGTGCACGCAAGTTCGGGGGATCTTATAATAGGGAGTGCATTTATGCCTGTGCTCCTCCCCATACCAAGATACCCCACTGCAATATTTAAGTGCACAGCAAAATATATTTCCTACATTTCTGTAATATATGTATATCGGACTTGTGCCCCCCCCCCCCCTCCCCCTCACCACCCGACCCTTTGATACAAAATCATTGACCCAACCCTGGTATGCTTGAATTGAATCGAATTGAATTGATGATTTATTGAGAATTAAAAGAATAACAACGCATCGCGGCCTGAGCATTATTGTAAGCTTGGTTGAACCATGAACGAACCCACATGTCATGCACATGCATAGTATCACAATTCGGTCCAAAGTCCAAACTGTATACATCGAGAATATAAGAGCAACTCTTTTGTTCGACATTTCCACTGTGATATTTTTTCTCTAAAGAAGAAAAAATGAGAAAGCTTACAAATCATTGAAACAATGTCAACCTCGACCAAATCTTAACCGTCAACGAAAATTTAATGATCCGTTATGTGCAGCTTTGATTAAGTCCTCCTTTGGTCTGGTTTCTGTCTCGTTGGAGTGTCTAGGGTATAACTACACAAGTAGTTATTCATTTATTTATTTATTTATTTCTAATCTTTTGTCAGGGTAGCCCATTCACCAATAAGTAGTGGTCTTTCATGGGGACCTGAATAAACATGAACAAAAAGCATAACGTTTATACAGAACAGTTAAAATATAATTCCACAGTACATTTAGAAAGATATGATGGTCGCACCATGCACCAAGCCGACTCCAAACCGGCCAATCTCAGGTCCTTTTTGGGGTGTAATTTACAAATGTGGGGGGGGGGGGGTTCTTGTATATTTTGTATCGACTTCTTTTGTTAAATAGTGGTCTGTTCAGGGATATACATGCGTCAACTCACCACCACCCCTCCTTCACCCACTCCAAGTCCGGGAAAAGCTGTAGAGCTAGGATTTATTGTTCAAGTCTATATGCTAACGCTTCGGAGAATATTTTTGTGCTTGTGTTTGAGTTTGAAGTTTGAGTTTGAGTTTGAATTTATTATCCAAACAAAAGTACATCAAAAAAAATGAAATGTGAATGGTTAACATTGAAAGGGTAAATGGGACCAGAAAATAGCATTTAATGCTAATCGTGTCTGTTACCACTAACCCACAAAAGTATCACAGCAATGAATGAGAATGTAATGAATAAATATGAATAACTATTTAATACATACTTAAGCTACAAGCTATTATACATCTAGGGTAAATATGTTCTGTGATTAAAAACAAAGCTTTAGTACTTTACACTAAATAAAAGATAAAGAATTATATAACATAATTAAATGATTCCATTAATTACTTCATTTTTTAAAATTATTTTGTCCATGAATGCAAGGGTTTGCCATTTTCCTAATGTGTGCGCTTTTTGCTATTCCCATTAAAAATATTAGAAAAAATCATGAAAAATAATCTCTTATGCATGACTCGCCCTTGAATGGGTTTTCAAAATGGCTAAGGGGTGCGATAGCTTTGTTCGAATTCATTCAGACATAGCAATGAAGTGGTAGCGATCGATACAGGAGATCTATTTAGAATGAACAGCATTCATATTTGCTCGAACTTGTGTACGTGCTGTACCTTTACTCTGGGGAGAACTAGCTCTCATTGGGTATAAACAAAATGGCGTTTCGTCGATATTTACGTCGTTTTTATATGTGTGCTGCAATATTCGGATTTAGTCAGGTGATTGTTCTTTTCGTCTTATTGAGTAGTCACGAGCAATTTAATATTGTTCCGCGTCGTCGTCTGAAACTCGTCAGCTCACACGGGGCTAGGTCTTCTCGTGCACCTGTAATCGGTAATCTTGAATTAGACAATGACCTACACGAAAATCTGGAAGACCAGCATCGTAAGCTAATGAGTAAAGAAAAGGTCACACACAGAACTATTAAAAACAGGAATAGTCTTGGTAATAAAGTATTTGACAGATATAACAATAACCAGATAATGCGGAGAAAGTTCGATGAGGATTCCATATGGCATCCTGAAGTCACTGCGAGTGCGGACAGGAAAGTTTATGGGGAACGGCAAGTTTCTGGTAACGAACCACCAATAACAAACCCGAAGCTCACTGTCGTTTTGTCCCAGTGGCGATTTGGTTCAAGTGTGATCGGCGATCTCTTCAATCAGAACTTGGAAGCGTTTTATTTATACGAGCCACTGTGGACTAGCCGTAAAATAAAGGCGATGAAGACACATCCCTGGATGCGGTATCCACCAACCACAGGGGACGTCTCCCGACAGATCATACGCGAGTTAGCGCAATGTAAGTTCAATGACGACTTTGTCGAGACATACAACGAATGGCATCCTCACCAAAACAGAGGTCTATGCATTCTTCACCCAGAGTGTGTGTTGTACGGTGAACAGTGGTTTGAGAACTTCTGCAAGACGTTCAGGAAAAGCCTGGTCACTAAAATCATTCGCATTGACCTAGAGGAATTGAGACCACTCGTCGAGGAGGACAAGATTGACCTGAAGATCATCCATCTCGTCCGCGATCCCAGGGGTGCAGCTGCCTCTAGACTCCACTACATCAACAGACTGTACTCCTATATCCGCCCAGGTAACAACGTCGGGAGACTGAAACCACTAGGTCTTCTGAACCATATCCCTGATGAGGTCATGTACATCCAAGAGATGCGAGAAAACAATCCAACTGTGCGTGGCATGTGCCAGTGGATAAGGAAAAATATCAAGGTCTCCCCAGATCTTTTGCCGCCGTGGTTGCAGGGACGCTACCACCTCGTAAAGTATGAGGATTTCGCCGTGGACCCTTTGAAGATCTCCAGAGGGATTTACAAGTTTGTGGGATTGCCATTCCCGGAGAACGTCGAATATTGGATCGAGAGGAACACGCATGCTGTCTATAGGAACGATGATATGTTTTCAACACTAAGAAATTCTCTTGAAGCAGCTACACATTGGATTGTTGACCTGTCTGAATTAGAGATAAAACAAATTGAAGAGGAGTGCGCCGACGTCATAAAACTTCTCGGCTATAAATCATTTGATGAACTTAAACAGACGTCATAACGTAGGGTTCACGATTGTCAGTTGAGCAATTACACCCCCTCCCCCCGAAATAATGCACAAAATTGAATCGGTACTTGATGTATTACGTGTTACTATTCTTCCCAAATGGGTTCATCTTTAGCTTTATAGTTTATTGTTCCAAATTGATAACCAACAGACAATGCATCCGTTATGGAAAATCAAGAAATCATCCTGCTTGTGCTATCTTGTTGATACATTATGGATCACTTAATTAAAGTTGGAGAAAAAAGAAAAATTCCGAATTAACTCTCAAGAGAGTAGTTCAACTAACACGTGTATTTTTAGTGGATTCAACTCTAAATTTGGAGTGGAATCAACTCTAAATCGACGTAATCCCTAATTATGAGTCGTGAAAGAGTGAATTGCCACTCCGTGGTTGTATTAAAGAGCAGCATTGGCGAACGAGTGTTGCCATAATTCAATAATAATCGTTACTGAGATTGCTTTTCCCTAAATATTATACCTTGACACATATAGCAATGTAAAGTATCACTGAAATAATGAGGTATTCTTAGCCACTGCTCTATATTGGACATGACTATTACCTTGCAAGAGATAGTTAGAAGTTACTTTACACAGACACTACTAGATCAGAAAAAGTTGATCATGTAGCATGTAAGTATTTGTGTGTACTGCAAGGTTCAAAATCATAATAGATTTGGTCCAGTCTTGGTAAAGTAACAAGCACTGTACACAGAAGAAGATGTATATCATGGGACTACACACATGTTGTCGGGCCTACTTACCTTGATTTCCTTATCTTTCTATGCTCATTACTCAGCCAGTATACATTTCTACCAAAATTGTTTGGCAAATGACATTTATTCGTAATCTTGAACATTCAGTGTAAGTTTCGTTTGATTCTGTGAGAATTCATTTTCTTTCTTTTTTAACCGGAAGTCAACTTTATCTTTAATTAGTTAGATTAGTATTTTTTCACAAATTTTAATTTTTTATTATACCTTTTCAAAACAAAGAACAATCTTTCTACCTTGTCGTGAACTTAAATAATAAATTGTTACCAAACTGGAAGCTAAAATTATATAAATTAGATGCATACATTTTTTAAAAATTTGTTGCTCAATTACAAATATGTGGTATTAGAAGTAGTAGTCGCTCTATACAGAGCGAATTTATTTTTCATTTCTTTTCACATGATATAAACAATGACAGACAGTAATAAACGTAATGATATAAATTTAGATTGTTTTTTAGTCATTGTAATGCAAAATTATTTGGTTACAGGAAATGAAAATAACGAACCTACTTGGAAGCAATGCTTCTTATACAGGTGTAGGTTCGCACAATAATAATTAAACTTTACACATTTATAAATTAATTTTGAAAACAATTACGGAATAAAAAAAAAACATGTTAGCCAATAAAAACAAATAATTAACGAGACAACAAACAAATCAGAAACAATAGCAGGATGACAAGATGAGGATGATACATAAAGAAAATAAGAATGAGAGAGTGACAAACATAAAAAGGGGGAAAATAAGCAGAAAGAGAAGAAGTAAAAGACACAGTGAGGGAGAGAGAGAGAGACGGACAGAGAAATAGAGAGAGAGAGAGAGAGAGAGCGAAAGAGAGGAAGAGGCATCCCTGCTGGAAAGAACACACTCATTCACACTCATCCACAGTGTGAATTACACTGTGTTTCATACTGTGAATCACAGTGTGCTCCACAATGTTAAATTGGGCGCTTCACACTGTGCTCCACAATGTTAAATTGGGCGCTTCACACTGTGCTCCACAATGTTAAATTGGGCCGTTTTCACACTGTGCTCCACAATGTTAAATTGGGCCGTTTTCACACTGTGCTCCACAATGTTAAATTGAGCCGTTTTCACACTGTGCTCCACAATGTTAAATTGGGCCGTTTTCACACTGTGCTCCACAATGTTAAATTGAGCCGTTTTCACACTGTGCTCCACAATGTTAAATTGAGTCGTTTTCACACTGTGCTCCACAATGTTAAATTGGGCGCTTCACACTGTGCTCCACAATGTTAAATTGGGCGCTTCACACTGTGCTCCACAATGTTAAATTGGGCCGTTTTCACACTGTGCTCCACAATGTTAAATTGGGCCGTTTTCACACTGTGATCCACAATGTTAAATTGAGCCGTTTTCACACTGTGCTCCACAATGTTAAATTGGGCCGTTTTCACACTGTGCTCCACAATGTTAAATTGGGCGCTTCACACTGTGCTCCACAATGTTAATTTGGGCGCTTCACACTGTGCTTCACAATGTTAAATTGGGCGCTTCACACTGTGCTCCACATTGTTAAATTGGGCGCTTCACACTGTGCTCCACAATGTTAAATTGGGCCGTTTTCACACTGTGCTCCACAATGTTAATTTAGGCGCTTCACACTGTGCTCCACAATGTTAAATTGAGCCGTTTTCAAACTGTGCTCCACAATGTTAAATTGAGCCGTTTTCACACTGTGCTCCACAATGTTAAATTGGGCGCTTCACACTGTGCTCCACAATGTTAAATTGGGCGCTTCACACTGTGCTCCACAATGTTAATTTGGGCGCTTCACACTGTGCTCCACAATGTTAAATTGGGCGCTTCACACTGTGCTCCACAATGTTAAATTGGGCGCTTCACACTGTGCTCCACAATGTTAATTTGGGCGCTTCACACTGTGCTCCACAATGTTAAATTCGGCGTTTTACACTGTGCTCCACAATGTTAAATTGGGCGCTTCACACTGTGGTCCACAATGTTAAATTGGGCGCTTCACACTGTGCTCCACAATGTTAAATTGGGCCGTTTTCACACTGTGCTCCACAATGTTAAATTGGGCGCTTCACACTGTGCTCCACAATCTTAAATTGGGCGCTTCACACTGTGCTCCACAATCTTAAGTTGGGCCGTTTTCACACTGTGCTCCACAATGTTAAATTGGGCGCTTCACACTGTGCTCCACAATGTTAAATTGGGCGCTTCACACTGTGCTCCACAATGTTAAATTGGGCGCTTCACACTGTGCTCCACAATGTTAAATTGGGCCGTTTTCACACTGTGCTCCACAATGTTAAATTGGGCCGTTTTCACACTGTGCTCCACAATGTTAAATTGGGTGCTTCACACTGTGCTCCAAAATGTTAATTTGGGCGCTTCACACTGTGCTCCACAATGTTAAATTGGGCGCTTCACACTGTGCTCCACAATATTCAATTGGGCGCTTCACACTGTGCTGCACAGTGTTAAATTGGGCCGTTTTCACACTGTGCTCCACAATGTTAAATTGGGCGCTTCACACTGTGTTCCACAATGTTAAATTGGGCCGTTTTCACACTGTGCTCCACAATGTTAAATTGGGCGCTTCACACTGTGCTCCACAATGTTAAATTGGGAGCTTCACATTGTGCTCCACAATGTTAAATTGGGCGCAGTGTGAAAACGCCCCAATTTAACCTTGTGGAGCACAGTGTGAAAACGCCCCAATTTAAAATTGTGGAGCGCTGTGTGAAAACGCCCCAATTTAATATTGTGGAGCGCAATGTGAAAACGGCCCAATTTAACATTGTGGAGCACACTGTGAATCTATCGTTATTCACAATGTGAAAACGCCCCAATTTTACATTGTGGAGCACTCTGTGAATTTATCGTTATTCACAATGTGAAAACGCCCCAATTTAACATTGTGGAGCACACTGTGAATCTATCGTTATTCACAATGTAAAAACGCCCCAATTTAATATTGTGGAGCACACTATGATTCACAGTGTGATTTACACTGTGAAATTCACAATGTGACCACACTGTGAATCTATCGTTATTCACAATGTGAAAACGCCCCAATTTAACATTGTGAACATTCACACAGTGAAATGCCCACCACACTGTGAAACACCAAACACACTGTGAAACGCCCACAATGTTAATTTGGGGCGTTTTCACATTGTGACACATTATATTGTATGAAATTATCACACTGTGAAACGCCCACCACATTGTGATACAAGTTTAGTTTTTGAATTCTATGTGAAATATTTCAAATTATGAAAATGTAGTCATGTAGAGCTTAGTACGTATAAATACGAAGGAGAAAATGTTTATAATCAATGTCTCACTTATAAACTCAACTTTAATAGAAAGATATCCCTGAAACATCTGAAACTAATACAGTAATCTAAATATTTACATGTTAGAGCCTTTATGAGGTAACTTAAAATGTATTTCAAAAGCTTTTATTTATTTTTCGCTAAAAGGACTTATGAACATACATCCTTTTAAGTATACAAAGATTGCAGTAATACTATACTTACAGATAAACAAATTTTACTCTGTGAATGCCAACATATTGTAAACCAGAATGAAAACAAAGACAAATGAATCCAAACAGTTTACATTAGATAGTAGAGATACTTCTGAAAACAGAACTTGCTATCTACAGTGAAATCTCATTATAATAAGCACATTGGTGTACACTGAATTGACCTCTTTATATCAGATATCTCATTGTACTAGGGTTTAAAACAATGAATTACAGAAAAACATGGAATTGTGAAAAAACCTTGCCGTATCAGTTACCTCTTAATACACGTTATAGAGGTTCTACTGTATAACATTGAGGCATAAATTACAATGACGGCAAACAATTAGCACATATCATTAATATTTCCCTGAAAATGTATTTTAAAGGTGTTAAGACACTCGCAAAAACATAATAAAAGCACATTAGCATGTAACAGCAGTATACAAAATAGTTTTAGAGCTTCTCTGGCAATATCTCTTAAACATTTTTGTAGGTATATTACATTTATGAACATACATTTTATGGCTAGTCACATTTTCCAAGTATAAAATATCCACACATGATATGTAACTTTGGCAATTGCAATGTATCAGAAAATCTTTGGCACATACAGGTTCTTCATAAACCTATTAAGATGATAACAAGTTTCAAAACATCTCTGTCAATACATCTTGAAAAAAGTTGAAAACATATCTAAT